AGGGGGCTTTTCGGCGCGCCCTGAAGCCCAAATGACAATAATAATAATAATAATAATAATGATAATAATAATAATAATAATAATAATGCTTATAATTATCACCATCATCATATCCACCGCTACCACTATCATCACCGCCACAATCATCATCACTTTCACTTTAACTATTATTATTATTATTATTATTTATCATCATCACCACCACCACCACCATCAACACCACCACCACCACCACCACCACCACCATCATCATCATCATCATCATCATCATCATCACATCGTCATCATCAAAGCAGGCTTGGCTGAGTCCGACATGTTCGTTTTTAACACATACACCATCAAAGGCTTGATTTCCATTGCTGTTTTCTCTGGCCCTGCAAAAGTGCATCCGTCGTAGCTTTGCAGGCAAAATATTCCAAAAGCGAATCCGGTTGCTAGGGATATGGTCACATGGTTTGACTGCCGTCGTCTGACATCAGTTTTGGCTTGGCTACACCAAACCGGCGGTCTCCGCACGCCGGCCTTTCGAAATGCTATTCAGAAGTGTTGGCACTGTTAAAAATGAACTGGTCCCACGTCCGCCTTTTACCAGTATAGCAACCGCGGCACCGACTGCATTTCCCCGACCGCTGAGCCCTGCAAATCGGTCGCATACACGCTCCAGCAGAGCACCGGTAGGCTAAATTCATGGATCATCGACAGGAAGTGTTTGGGGAGAGGTCGGCGCACTACAGATCTCGGATCGATGGCCGATCAGCATCAGGCCTGTCAAGGCCTAATATATGATTCGTTTCCTCTGGTGCTTATTTCTGACCTCATTTTCGACAATCGAACTGCACCGCCGGAAATCTAAATCCCCATGTGCCAAATATGAAGCAAGACGCGGTGTTAAGCTCGCCATGTTGCATCGCATGCAACGTTTTCGGCGATGCTCAATGGCTGCTTGTGTGGACTGACCGTTGGACGGGCTTAGGCTGTCCTGACGGCATCCACTAGGGCAGATTCACAGCAATGGTGCTATGCATTGATACGTGTGTGGGTTCATGCACTGCAGGATTGGCCGTATTTTCCACTAGCCCATGATGCAAACATTTTGCCACATTTGTACCTCACCTCCCTGCACGCGTGAATTTATCGTTTGTGCACTGGCTCATTGTGTTCCGACAAGTGCCATGCAGTTGGCTCTCGTGAAAAAGTCTTCCGTTTTTAACGCATTTCTGATTGCACCATTATCTAATACGGAGAAAATGCGATGCAGGATTTGGGAGTGAAAACGTGCATACTTCAATACTTCGTAAGACTCATGTGTCGTGCACTATGCCGTTTCCCCCCGTCCTCTAGGATGATATCATTTGATGCCACTTTGCAGGGCATCCGGCTGCACTACGTGGAGAACGGTGACAAGAGTAAACCGCTGCTGGTGCTGGTGCACGGCTTCCCCGCCTTCTGGTACTGCTGGCACTATCAGCTCAAGGACCTGGCCAAGGACTACTGGGTGGTTGCCGTCGACCTCAGGGGGTAGGTAGTTATGTAGGTCGACGAATGCATCAATGCATCATTGCCGTTGTTACAAACTTTTGCAATATCAGCACAAGTACATGATATCTTGACGATCTGAAACGACAAGCACCCTGCCTATTCCCGGCGTCATCGTTTGTTTAACAGATGGGGCCGAAAAAAACCTTGAACACCTGACGTTTCGGCATTGTCAGTGCTGACTAACGGTGACACTAGGTTCTTATGGCAACAAGCAAAGCCAATAGCGTTCAGGGCCGGGCCGTGCGTAGCTGGCGGGTTTGGCAGCTGTAGTGTTTTAAGCCGTTGTCCGCCCTGTGCCTCTCCGCCCGCATCCGCCGGGTTGCTGGGGAGAGCTGGCAGCCGCTCGCGCTGAGTACTCCACCAGGCATCCGATGGTGCGCCCGGCTGGTCACTGGGCGTGTTAGGATGCGGCGACAAGCGACAGCAGGCAAGAGGCCGGGACGACTGGCGAGCCCGGCCGGCCTGACCTGGCCGGGCAGGTCGGGCAGCGGCGCGTCTCCGACTCCTGCCCGGCGTTTTCGTTCTCCTGCCGGCCTGACCTGGCCGGGTAGGCCAAGCAGTCGCACGTCTCCTGCTCCTGCTCGGCGCCCTCGCTCCCTGACCTCGCGCCTGGCCGACCCCGCAGCTACGGCCAGTCGGACAGGCCGGCCGGCCGGGACCGGTATGCAGTGGACCTGCTGGCCGAGGACGTATCGCAGCTGGTGCTGGCGCTGGGTCGGACTGGCTGCGTCCTGATTGGCCACGACTGGGGCGGCATCGTCGCCTACCGTGTGGCCGAGCTGCGGCCCACCGTCGTGGACAAGCTTATCATCCTGAATGCCCCGCACCGGGCGGTGAGCGCTGCACTGCCGAGCGGAGAGGCGTCAGTCTGGGCTGGGGCCGGGGGGGGGGGGGGATGGGGTGCCACCGCCAGTCACGTGTTGTGTGCCACTAGCTGCTTGATTAACGGGCAGGATGATAGCCAGCAGCTATGATCGCGTGCTCACGCGAAGTTCCTGGCGCATTCAGCTGACCGCGCCTTACAAATGCAGCTTTCGGCTACCGCGGTAGGAGAAATAAAACGGCGCTGAACGACGAACCCGACTCGACCACCGTTGCCGCAGGCGATCCAGACTCTGCTGCGAACGTCGTGGAACCAGCTGTTCCGGTCGTGGTACGTCTTCATGTTCCAGCTGCCCTGGCTGCCAGAGACGGTCATGTCGTTGAACGACTTCAGCCGCACTGGAGCGCATGTTCACCGAGAACAAGGCCGTGCAGCACCATTACCCGCAGGAGCTGATCGACGCCTTCAAGTACACCTTCGGCGAGCCGGGCGCGCTCACTCCCCCGATCGACTACTACCGAGCGAACTTCAGTTTTACTCAGTCACCCATCGAGTCGCCCCGCATCATCTGCCCGCTGTTGGTCGTCTGGGGGGAGCGAGACAAGGCGCTGAGTCCGGTGCTGGCCACCATGTCCGCGCGCTACGCCGACCGGTTCACGGTGCGCTTCTTGCCCGAGGCTTCTCACTGGGTCATGATGGAGTACCCTCAGGAGGTGAACGGGCACATCAGGGAGTTTATTCAGAAGGAGTGAGCGCTGTGTCAGGCTCCGGGCGATGCGTTTATTAAAGAGTGACTGCTGCGCCAGGCTCTGGTAATGCGTTTATTCAGGAGTGACTGCTGCTTTAGGCTCTGGGTGATGCCATTGAGGAGGAGTCACCACTGTGTTAGGCTCCGGATGATGTGTTTATTCAAGAGGAGTGACCAGTGCGTCAGGCTTTGGGTGACGTCAGGCTCTGCGCCAGACTCCGGCTGATCGCAGGCTTGGAGTTACGTTTGCAGATGTGCGTGTGTGCGTCGTAGCGAGTGCAATGGTGTAGCGTCTGGGGCGACGTTTTCACGCCAAAGAATCAAGCCATGTAGGAGCTTGTTCCTTTTCATATAGTCAGCTGACGCAGGCTGACGCAACTGAACCCAACTGACGTTAGGATTTAGCAATGGTATAGGTCAGGATGGCTATTCCAGACGCTGGAGCCTGGATTACCGAAAGGAGCACCACGTCGCCCGCTTCACCGAAGAGCATGCAGACTGGCGCGTGCATAAATCCCCAGCAGCCTACTCGTGTGCGGGTCTTGTGATAGCTGGATGGTTGCGGGCTTCTTAGCATTCCAGAAGCCAAGAAGTAAAACGACGAAATGAAGCAGATGGCGTGGCTTGCCTTAGTTGTCATAGACGATCTAAAAAAGCGGGAAGCTTGCGGGGAGCGAGCCGGAACACAAACGAGCGAATGAAGTTGCCGACAATAGTATGGGCGCAAAATTGCTATACAAATGTCAGTGCGGTTAATCCAGATTGATAAACGATTCTGTGCTATTAAACCAAGGGCACTGCTTTTGGTTCTCCGGGTCTCTCTATGCAGTATAAACGGTAGTACGCTGTAAATACGTTCCCAGTAGCAGACATTCACAGTCGTCCCGCTCTTCGCCAATTTCCCACAACGTCCAGCATTTTTAAGGGCGAGTGATTCACTTGAAAGAGGGACAGAGGGAGCGGTCCGGGACAACCCCTCTCCATATTGTAGAAAAAGTTGAACACATTGTGCTGCATGAAACAGACGATGTGTAAATTACATTTGTTCCCATTTTCTTACCGGATCCACCGTCACTTCTTCCGGTCTCATCACAGAAATGTTCCGAAGTGGATGCCCGAGCTGGTTTTGTTTACATACTCCTCTGGAAACTGCACCTGGATCACCTGAAGCTCGCAACGCACTATTCGACTTCAACTCGCTTGCAACGAGTGGGCCGGCGGCACGGCTACATTTGCAGATATGGGCCGTGACACCATCCTGTTCATGTGTGTACTGTGCCTGATAGTCGTACAGGAGTTTTGCTGCCACTTACCAGTGTGGGTTGAGCAACTGCAGCATTTCATCTTTGAAACGAATGATGAAATCACCGGTAGAGCACGGTTGAAATGACCCAGAACGACCACAGGTGCCGCTGCACGAGGCGTCATTACCAGCATCTTCGGCTCCACGCAAGTGGTTGCATACAGTTCTGCTTCCTCGGTAGTTACACGATAGTACTCGTATGGCATGACAGTACCTATGTCGGATGAAAGAACAGTATCTGTAGCATGCTGGCATAGCCCCTAATCATCCGACAGGGATGTGATATGGCTAGGTGATACCCGTCTAATGGTGGTAACGACTAAACGTAGGTTATCACAATACACCTCATCAAATACGACATTCATGTCTCGGCGCGACAGCATGGCCGCACCGCTGCGGCGACGACAATTCTTCAGCACAAGGTGGCAGCACCATAGCACAGGACGGAGCGCCTACATCCATCGCGCTGCCACCAGAAAGTAATCGCCGCAATGTGCTCGACTCTGGTAAGGAGAGCTTGGTTGCTGGTAAGACTCAAATCAGCTCGCGCATCAGATGCATACCGCGTCGTTCCACGATGAGAAAACCCTCCAAAACGCGCTCCCTACGCGGAGTTTACGTGCTCCTGACGCCAGCTTATCGGCCTTATCGCTGCCAATGTTATCGGACGCTGTTGGGCCAATCTTTGCACAATGGCCACCGGCTGGCGGTCACATCGGCTGCATTGCTAGAGAGATGCGGCAACACTCGCGGAACGCTGAGCTCGGGGCACCAGCGGGGCCTTGCCTCCGTCCCGCTGTGTCGGCGGGTCTCCGTCTGCAACGGCTTTGGTAGCACCCAAACAGCTACGATTGCAGTGCGCCGTGCTCCGACGGCTCTTGGGTCCTCTGCTGTCGTCTCGGCCGGTGCCGCATTCGCTGCTGCTGCTGCTGCAGTTGCTGCTGCCACCGAAGCTGTTGCTGCTTCCACTGTAGCTGTTAATCCTGCCGCTGTGGTTGCTGCTCTTGTTGCTGCCGCTGCTACTGCCGCCGCTGTTGCAGCTAAAGCTGCGGCCACTGCTGCTGCCGCAGCCACAGCTGCTGATGTTGCTACCGCGACCGCTGCTGTCGATCTTAGTAGTATCACTAGCGCCGCCCTGGCCGCTGCTGCCTTGCCTTCTGCTGTCAGTACTGGCAAGCGGCAGCTGCTGTTCGCCTATTCATCATTCAGCTGAGATGGTCTTGGTCGACGGACATGGCCACCGCTGGCGTTCGCACAATGCCGGATGTAATACGCGCGGGACGGGTCTGATACGTGAACTACGCCATTCTTTCCCCCCACCAAACTGCGATGGGATTTTCCTGAACTCGCGCTTGCACTCCGTAATTGTTGGAACCCAGTATTGACTGACCGCGAGTTGAACAGCTTGGTGACAGTATGGTCGGGCATGTCCGAGCAAGCGCTCAATAACACAGGGTATTCTCACCGGTACTGCCTACATTACATGCGGAGCAGACCGGTCGCCGGTATCCACTACCAACGCGCTGTCCTCTGGTCGACTGGTGGGGCCAGGCTGAGCAGGAGTGCTTCAGACGTTGTTTTTTATCCTCGATTCCGATGCCTCTCGATGGCGACACCAACGTCTGTGGCGCCATCCAACATCTCTGCCTCACTGGCTCCGCCAAATGTCGGGTCAGCGACTCAACGTTACATCTGAGCTACTGCGACGTCGGCAAGCCGCTGAACGTCCAGGGGGGGGGGGGGGGCCTTGGTCCAGAGCACAGGTCGCTCGGCCAGCCAGACCAGGCCAGGAAGACCTACATCAGCTGACCAGGACGACTGTGAGTCGGGACGTTCGACGCGAGAGTCGGTTTCGGTGGTAAGAAGCCATCACGTGCGGCCACCCGGCTAGGCGCTGCCACGGTTCCGAGGCCAGCCGCTCCGGCCGCCGCTGCCGGACCCCGCTCAGCAGCCGGTCCAGCCAACACCGCAGCGCCTCACGCGGCCAGTAGCCCAACCAAATCAGCCAGCACCTCTGCGAACCGCGCCGCAGGCGGTTCGGCCGGTCCAGCCGAGGACTGCAGCTCCCGGCGCAGGCCCAGCAATGGCACGCGCAGCGCTCCGGCCAGGCCAAAACCACGGTGGGTGTGGCCGGTGCTGCTACCCCGGACTTCTAGTTCGGTCATACGCGCTTGCCGTGAGGCATGTTTGGTCCTGAGGTCTCCGTTGGACTTTCGCGGATCTGCTACTTTCGCTTTACAGACGCTCGGTGATGTGTGCACGAGCCTCTAGACAGTCCACATATGTATCTTCTAAGACTGACGCCTGCGAGGCAGACGTTTATGACGCGGTAACATGGCCCCAGAACCGCACCCGCCTCCTGCAGCAGGACTTCCTGCGCCTCTCACGCTCCCAGAGTCCATCAACCATCCACCAGCTGGGCGACATCACCAATGCTCCGCTTGGCAATCGTCCTGCCGCGCTGGTCAGTGTGCTGACCATGACGCGGGTGTGCAGCCAGTCCCGCAGTTGACAGTGTCGGCTCCTGTGTGGTACTGATGTCATCTCCGACGCTCCGGCAGTGTCACAAGCGAACAGCGCTCGGTACCTGGCGACAATCTGATCTGTTTGGTCCGGCTCGCCGGCGCCGACGCCTCCTGAAACTGGATCATCACTGGCCCCGCCAGCAGGGAGCGAGTCCCGCTGATGTCACGTGGTGCATCCTTTTTTCAGTTTATTCGCAAATCACATCACATACAATCAAAATAATCACATGAAGACGATGCGTACAATGATCGATCGCACATGATATTCGGCAATCATATCCAGTCACACCTGCCATATCATCGCAGCCTGTCATGTATACGGGCACATCACTTCAAATAATTTCTCACACATAAGAATATCTACAGCACGGTCCGCATTAAACCCACAATGTCCAGTTTTCGCGTGCATGGTTTGGAACGAGTGCCACCGCGACCTCCCACCTCGATCACACACGCGTATTTACCGCGAATGGTGCGTGCAGGAAGGACATGAATGCGTACATGTATCTGCAAGTGTGTGGTGTGCGTGTTTGTAGTTTGGAAGCATGTGTGTGTGTGAGAGAATACGTGCATATTTGTTTGAATTGTGTTGTGCCGTGCATGCGCGCGCTCTGCACTTTAATTTTATGGTTGTGAGACTTCGGGCATTATTCGTAGCATAATCACCACTCTTCCCACTCGTTGTTAAAGCTATTCGTTTCGTTACATAATTTGGCGGAGCAGCGCTCTTTCTGTACTTCATGTTTCAGTAGGTTTAGGAAATGTCTTAATTGTGGTAGAACTTTCTTCAGATGCGCCTCATAAATACGTGAGCTTGGCTAATTTTATAAAAAAAAATTTAATGCTACTCGAGCTTTGTAAGATTGGGGAATATCTACTGCCTCTTGTCAAGGCTTAGTACTTGGGCTAAATTTCTCGGATATTTTGGTGGCAACGCCTGTGAAGGAATCCTGGGTTATCAAACAATCCCAATATAAATAGTATCAATGTTTCAACTGAATACAAGCAAAATGTGCAGCAATTTCTTTCTGATCGACCAATACTGTACAGGAAAAAATTGTTGAGATTATTCCTGTTGATCATGTGGAAATGAAGGGATTGAATGAACGTTTTATTTGTTACTCTGGAAATACCATACATACTACCTATATGCGAATCGTGATGTACCTTGATTTGCCGGACTAATTTGGTCAGGTATTATTGGGCGCAATATCGATCCCCTATGGTTCGAGTTCTTAATCATTTGCAGGCAGGCTTCTGACGAGAGATTCGTGGCACAAGAATGCCATTGGAGTGTTGTAAATCTCTCTCACCTCCTGCCTTAAGTACAGTTCCCCAGATAACGGGCTAATAAGATCTGCTAAGAATCTTAGGTCCTTCATCGTCGCAGCCCTTAAGTATGGTGTTGTTAAACTTAGTCAGATCCGAAAACCATACTTTTCTGGAGAGAAGCTGATGCTGATCTGGAATGTATAGTGAAGAAAGCTCTAACCACGCTTGAAACACATTCTTCCAAAACGGATTACGAAATCACTTCATGACGTATCCTAGTTTTGTTGGTCCATAGGTCACCAGGTTTCCAAGAGAGACAAATTTCGCCATAATTAGTTTCGACCAATCGTGTTGAGAGCAAAGAAGTCTTCGAATCCACGACATCTGGAAGTTTTTTTTAAAGGAGTCTATATCCACCATGTTCAGATCGTCAAGCATGTATGGTTGTGTCATTTTAGTTCTTTTAACACGGTGTTATCTATCGCCTCATAGGAATTTGAACGACATCGCTTCTATTTCCTTTAGCATGACCCATGTTGCGATGGCTGGTAAGACATCACCTGCTTTGGCCTCCTTCCACTCAGGTCAATATCGGCAGGCGGAGTCCACATCAATTTCATATCGGACAAAACTTAGAGCGAGCTTTTGGCCGGGATGTAACGCTATTATAGCATCCATTTCAAATAACCGAAAACTGGTTATTGAATCTATGTGAGGCAAGTGGAATGCCACAAACAAAACCCCACCAGACATCACAAAATGGAAGCTTCCAAAGCGCGTGTAACTCGCTCAGCTGACTGCAGATGACACAATGACAGGCTGCGACTGATTGAAGTCTACAGCCCGTGTCACAAACCAACATCGCTTAACATAATGCCAACACCCACCGTCTCACAAATGGAACTGTGTATTGCCAAGTCACGCACAACCCAAGTCTGCGAGACGCCCGACGTAAACGAGCAGCGGTAGCAAAAGGGACACGGCACTACGAGCCCCCGTTTCCACACTGTGTCAGGCGGCGACGCGATGAATACGTGATGCACGGCAACAAGCAAGCAGATCGCGCCGATCGGTGACAAACGTACACCCACATTGCGCCACACACGGCCACGGTACAGCAAGCGAGGTTTAAACCGTTCTAACAATGTTAAAAACATCCACAGATAGAAGCGGCGCTCACATATTGCGCAATCACGTCTCCCAAAACAGTTCGGTCGCGACTTAACCTGCCACCAGACTCCGAGCCAAACGACCGCAGCCACCTGAACAGGTGCGTCCCACTGGTCCACGTCACGCCTGAGCGTCCCGAGCTCCATACCTCACCGCAGCCGAGAGCTGTTGCGCATCACAATGTGTTCGGCATCACCAGCTAGGACACGGAGTGGTCTTGCCGATACTGGTCGCAGCACAGAGTGGCCCTGCCGACACCGGCCGTAGCACGGAGTGGCCCTGCCGACATCGGCCACAGCACCGAGTGGCCCTGCCGACATCGGCCACAGCACAGAGTGGCCCTGCCAACATCGGACGCAGCACGGAGTGGCCCTGCCGACGTCGGCCCGCAGCACAGAGTGGCCCTGCCGACACCGGCCGTAGCACGGAGTGGCCCTGCCGACACCGGCCGCAGCACGGGTCGCTAGCGCCGTGAGCGCGGGGTCTAGTGCGCGGGCCGTCGTGGGCGCGCGGCGGTCCGTCGGCGCCGCGCCGCGTGTGGCGTCAGCGGGCACCCCGCGTGCGGCCCTGGTGGCAGTGGCCGCGGGGCCGGTGCCGTCAGCAGGCCTGACCGTCCTGCCCCTCCTCCCCGTCCTCATCCTCTTCGTCCATCTCCTCCTCGCTGGTGACGTCCGGCTGGTCCGCCTCCCGCCTGACACCGGCCCGCCACTGGCAGTTGAACAGGTAGTTTCCCCTGGCGAAGGCGGGTCACGGTCAGCCTGGTGCCGGCCGCGCCGGCAGCTGGACTACGCCGTTTGCTCAGGGCGCGATGACCCTCGGATACAAAAAAAATCGGTGCGCCTACCACACAGTTCTGACCGCGAGAGCGCTAGGCGGTCAAGTTTTGTCTAAGCCCCGATAAAGAGTGACAATGCGTGGCCATACAAAATATGTTCTCGAGCCCCAACCGCACCGAAACATTTCATAACGCGCCTAGCGACAGCAATGCCCATTCCTGATGAATCCTTTTGAGCTTCAGCGGTGAATTCGACATCTCCGTCATAAGTGGCGAGATATTGCACGCGAACCGACGAGGGAGCGACGCAATACCTGGCCGGCGTCTCTACGTTCGAAACCAGTCCTGAGATTCGGAACACGACTACAATGTGGTCCCTCTCACCAGCGATATAGACCAACCCCGCATGCTATTCTGTGCTGCACCAAACGATGCACCACATTTTGTAAAAAAAGATGTTGCCGTCGATTTCCGTCGCAGGCAATTCTGGTCAAAGAACGGCAGGGCGTTGTTTCTTCCTTCCAGCCTGGCCTGGCTTGTCAACAAGCATAATGCGTATATCATCGTAACACACTGGTTCACCCAGCATCCCTTACAGACGTTCTGGTAACCTAGACATGACCAACGAGATCCATAAGCGCCAGCTTGCACGATATCAAGCTATTTATTCCGGCAACGCGTGCTTGTTTCATTACAACGCGCTACAGAAATGCTGACGACATTCGGAACGACCTAAGCATCCAACAGGTGCGTGTATAGCCCGCTCGCCTCACACTCGGCTTCAAGCCAAGTGACCAGCGAAGCCGAGCACCGAAAATCACGAGCGTTTGGTTGTGGTCCGGGACCAAATGGCCGTGGCCGACCTGAGGCCCCTGTGGGCGCTCCTCTGGCCAGGCGCGCGCAGGCGGAGCGGCCAGGCGCCGGCCGAGGGACCGACCTGAGTATCTTGCTGCGGCTGTGCCGGCTCCGCTCGAGCGCACACTCGTCCAGGTAGCTGACACAGATCTGCTCGCCGGCCGCGATGTCCTGCGTGGCCGACATGACCAGGTGGAAGTTGTCGCACGGGAAGCCCGGCATGGCATTCGGCGTGCAGCTGTGGTTGCATTGACGACTGCAGCGGGTACAACGCCGAGCCCTCGTTGTTCAGGAAGCAGCCGGCCTCTGGCAGGGGGGAGGGGGGTGGGGGGGGGGCTCAGCTGGCGGCGCGCCCCCGCGACGGGCCAACTGCTCGGCGCAGCACACCAGTTCACTGGTGCAAGGTGCATGGCGTCCTGTGACTCTATACGCGATGCATGGTGTTGAACGATGCGGGTGACTGCATCCCCGGACGTGACCCGACCTCATTGCAGCAGCCAGGGTCGACGAATGTCACAGCAAGCAGTGTGTACTGCGACAGAACGTAGTAAACGTGCCTTTTTCAAGGTCCTCATACAGCTGTTGATGACCTCGTCCAGTTTGTCTTGCTCCTCAGGCGGCAGATCAAGACTGGTGCAGTTCCGAACCCAAACAGAGATGGCGCTAGTACCCACACCCTGACCGTTCGTCCCGACTAGGGCAATCAGGCTCCGAAACCCGGCCGGGGTTAGCCACTGAAACATAATGAGCACACGATCAGCACATGACGACAGCACACAACACAGCCCGACTGTCACTCCATACAAGTGCCCAGCCGTACAGACGAGGGCCACATTTCCGCCGCACTTCCCGCTGCGGCTCGACCAGGTACTGCAATGGAGGCGAGACGCATCAGTGGTCTGGACGGTCCCCCCTCGTCTCCCAGCCGAGCGCTCAGCGGGAACAGCACTGACTGCCTGAGGGTTCGGCGCGGGTTACCATCGTCTCCAGCGTCGGCTTCCGCACATCAGCTCACCTGGTGGACGTCCGGCGTGTACAGCGCGTCCGACATGAGCTTCCGCAGAGTTTCCAGCTGGTCGGAAAACTGCACGCCCAGCATCTTGTGCGCTATCTCCTCCTCCTCGTTCACTGTGCGGTGGCAGAACTGGAACAGGCGGCGGACACTGGTCAGGCGAAGATCTGGCCACGACCGTGCAGTAGCTTGCGAGTAGCTGACCAGAACACAGCCCTGCACTAGCCTGTGCGTTTTCTCCACATGCATCCAAAGTTCAATTTGGTTTTTCATTTCGCGGCGTGGATTCTATGCGCGTGTTTTCCACGTGGAGCCCTGGACGCCCACAGCGTGCCCTGACCCGACGCGAACGTGGGGTCTGAGGGACGGTGGCCGCCCGGCCGCCGTACCTGCATGAAGAGGTTAACGGCACCCTCCGTGTCGGCCGCTTGCCGTACCGTGGCCAGCATGCGGGCCACCAGCATAATGCACGCCGTCTCCGGTGGGTAGTGCATCTTCCTGCCGCAAGACATCGCCATCAACACAATGCGTTAAGGTGACGTAGACACGCGTCCCCACGGTGCCGGTGGCGTGGAGGTTAACGCGTCTGCGTTGACCACTGCGCGTCTGGGAAACCAGAGGTACGGGGTTCGATTCCCGCGGTGCCCGCCCTTCCTGCCGGGGTGAAAGGCAGGCGCGCCACATAGCCTCAGCAGCTGAGTGCGTCGTTAAGCCCCAGTGATAACCACACTGATCCTCACAAGTCCCATAGATCCTCACAGCACTTCCTTCCAGAGACCTTCTTTTTTTTTGCTCGTAAAGACGTGAATAATGCTTGATTGCGTCGGCACGGTGTTTAAATTTTGACATAATTTATCGCTGCGCATCACTGTAGTCTATGCAATGTCGCAGCATGCAATGGCAGCAGTGCAGCAGTGCCAAAGTAACAAAAAACTTAGGTATTACCGTATGTCAAACGCTGTGGAACAGTGCGTACGGAATGACAACATAGAGTTAAACGAAGCATGCGCTCCTTCCACCACATCAAACGGTCACCCAGCGCCCGGACGGCTCACTCACTTCCACGTCTCCTGGAGGATGACCAGCGGGTGAGAGGCGTCTCTGGTGAAGGAGCGCGTGCACACGTCTTGTGGTACTGGCTCCAGGCGGCGTCGCGACATGCCTCGCAGCAGTAACTGGCCTGCCCGCACACGCGCTCACGCGCTGCCACAACCGGCGGACGATCCACCCGGACGCGCCGCCGGGGAAACCGCGGTCGTCCGGCGACAGACCACGCATGGCGCGAGGCTAGCCACGACACAAACGCACTCACAGCTGGCTGATCCGACACAAACGCACTCAAAGCTGGCTGATCCGACACAAACGCACTCAAAGCTGGCTGATCCGGGCCTCTGCGGGCCGCACCAAAGAGAAGGGAAGGGACAGAACAGCGACTGGCACCCTGACGACCCTCAGCTCGCGGTGGCGGCCGCCGGCAGCCCGGCACGGCACAGGCTGGGGGCCGGTCGCGCATACGAACTCAAGCCGACAGCACACACATCCGTGGGCGCAGCGAGCTGTGAGACGCGCCATCCCAAACGCTCCAGCACTGACCGCAGTGGTTCGGAACTCCGAACCACTCCGCGGAGCGGAACTCCGTTGGGGGACCTGGCCGTCCCCTTCCTACGTTTCAACGACGACCAGCCCACTTACTACTAACTGACCATCCTTGCCCTCCGTTCATTCCATTTTGCAACGCGTCACTCGTCCGCGCAGAGGGGACACTCACGTCGCACGTGGGACACTCGACGACGAATTCCTTCTTGGTGCCGCAGCACTCAGGGTGCGGCAGTGTGAGGGCGTTGTTGCCTGTCAACCGGCGGGCGTTCTCCTCGGCCGTCTCCAGTGGTCTGGCGCAGACAGCGGCGCGCGTCAAGGCGAAAGAGCGCGGGTCTCGTGCAGTTCACCGAGCGGGACCAGCCACCTCGCGGGGGCACACACCGACACGCTCGCGCGCACGCATGACACGTGCGTTAAGTTGCGAGCGCGCAATGAACGGACGGAGCCAGGTGGCAGATCGGCACGACAGGAGAGCCGGGAGCGTCCAGGATTACTCGCGCCTGCTCAGTCTCCCGCTGGTGGAGCGGACAGTCAGTCACGTCCCCACACACACCACGGCAGAATGGTGAAGCGTGACAGAACGCTCGGCCGCGACTCAGTCAGCCACACGTCAGGTCAGGCATCCAGCGCTACACCTGCGCCTACCCGCCGATCATCACACCTCTGGCCTCGTCAGACGTGTTGCAACTGTTCACCGATGCAGTGACGACACGCATGACACGTAAATCACGATAAGGCATTACCTCAGCTACAGCTGGTGAGAAAAGGCCGACGACAGTCCCCGAGACGGTAATCGAGCACGTCCCCATGCATCTAGAGCCCCACTCCTTAGCACGCGCTTCAGTGGGGATGGAGGGTGGGAGTCAACTTTACCCCACCCGAAGGTTTTTCAGATTTACGTCCTAAGGGTGCCGCCTGCCGCGCCACACTTCGTACAGCTGAAAGCAATGCTATTAATGGGAAAAGCGTAGGGCTCGCGCAGATTACAGCACAGAGTATCATCTGATTGGTGGCACTGAGTCTTAGTACCACATAGACATTTGCCGATGTCTTCACTTAAACGACGGCTAGGCAAGTAGACCAGTCACAAATCTACCCAGCGACAACACACCGGCTGGGTCAGTGGTCGTTTCACAGTGGCGATAATGAACAAGCACAGATGTACATGAACG